TCTGAGAGAGCGACTGTAAACAAGACACCAGATCATGCCCAATCACATATATATATATATATATATATGGTTTTGTGTATGTCTTAGTAATATAAAAGTCGAGAACAAAGCATGTTTATCATTCTTTTTCTTTTCAACCATTCCATTTTGTCCATGAAGTACAGTGTTATTATATCATGGACATAATAATTATGTTATTATATCATGTACATAATAATGCCCATGATGGAGGAAATGTAAATGAGAGAATAAATCTTTCTTCCAAGAGCTCCTGTTACACTTTTGTCGATGGCTTAATGAAAAATTTTCCAGAAAGTGGTTTCGATTGAGTGGCCAGCAGGCTTCCAAGAACTGCCATCTCTTGATATCTTTTTTTTTATTGTGAAAAAGTTTATACCATTCATTAAGTGAAGGTTCAAATCACTGTCAAGTTGGAAGAAATTGATATCAAACTCTATGAACAATATTTGATATACGTTGCCAGTTTGGTTATAATTGTGCATTAACTTTGAAAGAAGGGACTTTGAACATTTACAAGTAAAACAGCTTGGCACAATTCCTTAATAATTACCTCCACTCTAATAAATGGTTTGATAAGCATGTCTTTGACTGATTTCTATATTCTTGTACACTGTAATACAAATGACAAACAATCAAGTGACAGCCATTAAAAATGGTTACTTTGTATATTCCAATCTCAATAGATACAAATACAGTTTTTCTCAGCCTATAGAAATCTTTCACCAATAAAAGATTAAAAAAAGAGTAGAAAACATTCTGATGTCTGATAGATTGGCCAGATTTGGGGAAACGTCGAACCAAGAACTTTCAACAATCCCCCTTTGTATTTATCATATATTAAAGTATTGGAAAGTTGAGTACAAAGCCATATTCAGTGGTATTGTTCAAGCATCCCCCTCATATTTATCATATTAAAGCATTGGACTATATTAAGTTGGGTACAAGGCCATATTAATTTGGAGGTATGGTTGTGTAGGTTAATAGTTATCAATATAGAAAATGAGGACATTGAGCCTGAGTATAAATTCTGTTTGAGGCTGTGTTAACTTTGTCCTAATGCTTTGAGAACAACATAAATTCGTCTCTTCTCCCTTTAGCTTTGGGAGAAATAGTAGTGCAAACTAGGCCCTTCAGTCTTGGTAGGGCAACCAGTCTATGAGAATTGATTCAATAGCAAGCATCGCTAGGCTGTCTTATCCTGGATAAACCCATTGCTATGACTTATACAGTAATGAACTCTCTCTTAGTGGCTTGTGAGAATGGTGTACTAAACTGTACATATTTTAACATCCTACAATCCTGTTTATGACATCAAATTTTGTGCTTACTCCTACAAAAAAAAAGGAGATACTAAACCAACTTGAACGTTCTAAAAAATGGAAGAGCAGAGTTCAATTCAAAGGTAAGGCTGTGCAAAAATATATATTGGTTCATTGGAGTCATGATGGCTGAAATGTAAAAGGTGGAAGCAGTTATTAATTTTGAAATTTGAATAAAGGAATGGATACAGGTTACCGTCTTGAATTACATAAAGCTATTGTTTAACCTTTATGTAAGTTTACCAAATAGAAAAGGCATCTGAGGAGATAGAGATTATATAGCAACCAAGGAATAGCGACCTACCTGGTTCACTGCTTGCTCAAGTGATTGCAGCAAGGATTCTGCATCGTTGATACATTGAGAAATTAATGCAAGATCATCGGCAAAGTCAAGGTCAGTCATGTATTGTGGAGGGTATTGACTACTCTGGCAAGGTTTTAAAAGGAGTCCTTTTTCCAACATCTAATAATCTAATAATAGTAAAGACTTAGCCAAATCTGAATTTTATATACAGCATCATATTATATAGTATAGGTTGGTGTGGTGTAATTGATAACAGCTCTGTCTGCATGAGAAACTAGAAAGCTGAGTTCAAATTCCAGTCGGGTTCATTACATTCACTTATGTACAAATATCATTGGGAAAGGTATGAATCCATCTCATCTCCCTCCAGCTATGGGTTGAATAAGAAGGCATACTGTGTCCTATAGTCTTGTTTGGCAACCAGTAAATCACAGAAAGAAATGGCAGTCTACCCTCTTGAATTACATAAAGCTTTTGTTTAACCTTTATGGAAGTTTACCAAATACAAAAGACATCTGAGGAAATACAGAAGATATAGCAGCCAAAGCTTTTTAGTAAGGCCAGCAGAAATGAATCCAGTCTGAAAGAATCAATGTATAATAGTAACAATAATTCTTTCAGAAATTTATGCAAAGTAAACATTTTATTATAGATTTATCAATTATTAATGTTAACAATGAACTATTTTAAATTACAAAATTGTACTTGGATTAAATGAAAATTGCTTATAATATAATACATAATACTTATAATACATTTCTTCTGGCCATCAATTTTGACAGCACAGGTACATTAGTTCTTTAAATTGGTAAACACTTTCCTAAAAATAGTAAACTATAAAAAATCATTAATAAGAATACAATAAAAGTCAACTACAGTTGTGGAACATTTAGTTGGGTGTTCAAAGACCCCAGGGTACGAACATAGGTTAACAACTAAATAGGAGCATATTTCCTTTTACATAAAATACCATGTTTTTTTTCTTTTTTGTTTTTTGTCTGAAATTTTTTTATTGTATTATTTATCTGCCTGACCTTGAAAGTGACAGCTTGCAATGTCTTTATAACAATTGCAAGCTGTTCAAAGAGGTGAAGATAAAAAAAAAAAAAATCAAACATTCCATGAAAGAGCAACAACAACAATAATAATAATTGAGAAAAATATATTTAAAGTCTTGCATGTGGAAAATCTAATGATCATTATCCTTTGACCTCCCTATGGTTGGTCGGAACTCCATTGACAATCCTTTTCCACACTGTTCGATCCTGCATTGTTGTCCCCAATGTCCAACTCTGAGTCCTGAATTATGGTGTCTGGGAAAGTCAATTTTCATGAGAAGACACTTGCAGAAGGTTGCCATAGGAGTAAGGATGAGATGATTATTCTGTCTGTTCAGTGGCAAGTGGCTGGCAAACTGGTCTCAGTAAATTGTGTTAAGCATTGCATGGGATCTCCAACTGATGTTGTGGATTTTTTTTTAAGTATGTTTGTATATGTCCCATCCAGCCATCTTTCAAGATGAACAGATAATGTTCAAGTTTCTGATCTATACATTAGGATGGTTCAATCAATGTTCGAAAGGCTTGGAATTTTGAGGAGAATGGAAGGTTCGAGTGCCAAATCTTGTGAAGTTTGTTCAACATCTGCAAGAGATTTGCAGATGTTGAAGTCTTTTTGGGAATCCATTATGTTAGATCCAAGTTATTTCAAGACCTCAACTCTTTTGTTGGATGTATTATTGAGTGACTTCAACTTGGATGGTTCAGGGGAGGTTGTGATATATTCTGTCTTATTCCTGTTGCAATAGAGACCTACCTGGTTCACTGCTTGCTCAAGTGATTGCAGCAAGGTTTCTGTATCATTGATACATTGAGAAATTAATGCAAGATTGTCGTCAAGGTCAGTCATGTATTGTGGAAGGTATTGACTACTCTGGAAAGGAGTCCTATTTCCAACATCTAATAATCTAATAATAGTAAAGTCTTAGCCAAATCTGAATTTTATATACAGCATCATATTATATAGTATAGGTTGGTGTGGTGTAATTGATAACAGCTCTGTCTGCATGAGAAACTAGAAAGCTGAGTTCAAATTCCAGTCAGGTTCATTACATTCACTTATGTACAAATATCATTGGGAAAGGTATGAATCCATCTCATCTCCCTCCAGCTATGGGTTGAATAAGAAGGCATACTGTGTCCTATAGTCTTGTTTGGCAGCCAGTAAATCACAGAAAGAAATGGCAGTCTACTGTGGGAATATCTTCTTAATCAGGCATGAATTGAAAGAGACATGATTGTCCAAGTGTGTTGGCAATTAACTGACTGAATGACACTAATATTGAAAAAAATCATAAATAAATTCCATGCTTGGGTTGGTTGGTTAGCAGCATATCAACACCTCTATGGGTTATCTAATGCCAAAACGTAAATATTTTGACCAATTTTATAGCTTCAACTACTGATAAAATGTATTGTTGGTAAATTTACTACAAAAGTTGTATTGTTGGTAATTTTTGATATAATTGTTTTGTTTTTTTTTATTTTTTATTAATGGATAGATATTTTAAGCAAATATTTTTTTAAGCTTGAAAACTTCCTAATTCTTTTGTCCCCCTCCCTGCAAAAGTAATATTTTTGCACTGCTGGGTTAGAAGCATTTTGGCATGGTTCCAAGAGTATTTATTTCAAACTATCTTTGTTTATAGCCTTAGTTACTTCTTGAAATGTTTCCACCATTCATGTGTATATTGTAAGAAATGACTTTTGGTTATCAAAATGATATTCTATTTTTTGGGGGGGGTCAAAAGTTAAACATTCCTCATAAATGTCTGTTTTCAGAAAACATTATCTCACTTTTAATTTATTTACTTTTTGCAAGGCTTATGGCATATATGGTCTGTTGAGAAATATTGCTGTCTTTTAATATTAACAGAATAATGCTTACCTTCTGCAATAGTTTTTTTTTAGTTCTTTTCAATGTATCCCTCCACACTTGCATATCCCAGCATCCCTTTTACTTTATAAAACCATCTTCAAGATCTTTAGATCACCATCAGCTACCTCATTATCTGCTTAATCCTGTAGGGTTACAGCCATATTACGTTTAATAATCGCTTTTTTTTTTTTTTTTTTTTTTTTATATTACTACTGATAAAGCACTAAAAATCACAAATATTAATATTTTTTTTATTTTTTTAAATTTTATAAAAGTTACTATGTGGGCCCAGTTTGCTGAGTAAATACATTGTAAATTGATCCCCCAATGTACAAGACAGAAAACAGAATATGCCCGAACTGTGTGATACCCTCCTACTTCTGATATCAAAACAGTCACATGTTTACAGTGAAATCATGCTGAAACGATGGTTCCCTTATGATCACCGAAGTTAAGCAACATTAAGCATGGTCAGTAGCAAGATGGGTGAGTGCTTGGGAATTCCAGGTGCTGTAAGCTTGGATATGTGGGTGGTGTAATGGATAATGGCATGAATTGTTAATTGGAGAGCCAAGTTCCAATTCCAGTCATGTTTGTTATATTCACTGACATGCAAATACCTTTGGGAAAGGTATGATTAATTACTAACACTTGTATTATTACTAAAACCATTATCTCAAAAAAAAAAAAAAAATTCTTACAATGTAAAAAAAAATATTTTCTGGCTTTAAATAACCAACAAAGAGTTGATAAACTGTAGAAAATGAATGAATCAGTCCAATAAACCTTAATGTTGTCTATGGTATTTCAACAGTGATTTTAGCTTCAGAAAACAAAGACAGAATCCAAATCTGAATTGTTAGGTGTTTTGTGAAAAATAATCTTACATGAGATATGGAATATCTGCTTTGCTTGGTCATTAAGAACGTGATAATTATGCAGTCCACAAATTTATTGTATTGATATCTAACTATTGACAGAGTAATTTCACAAGAGAATGTCCATATAGGCACAGTCAAGTCCTTTCTGATTGAGTACAAAATTACATCAAGGCCACACAACTGGTACTTTTGCTCTGTGGGCAAGGTCTAGAATACACCAGCTGCATTCACTGCAAAGAAATAAAAACTCCCTAACAGTGACCACCTACTAACTAAATACTTATCAACTAAAATATAAGTGACCAATATTTACCTATGCTCAAACCAAATAAATGCTTACAGACTCAAATAAAAATAACTGATATTCACTTATCTCCAAGTCAAGTAAATGCTTATCAACTCAAAATGACCAGTAATTTAACTATCCCCAAACTAAGTAAATGCTTATATAAACTCAAATATAAACAACCAATATTTTACCTATATCAGCATCAAACATAAACAAACATTTACCTATTCTTGAACCAAGTAAATTCTTTTTAGTTCAAATATGAACAATTGATATTTACCTTTCCCTCCATTGAATCAAGTATTCATCTAGATTCAAATATAATAATAAAAACAAGAGACTGATTTTGACATTAAATAACTCAACAGGAGTTAACATGGCCATGAAATCAATCAACCAAAGCCCAAAAGGGTTCTTGATAATCTAAATAGCTAGACAGTTGAGGAAAATAAAAAAAAAAAAAAAAAGACAGGCTTTTACAATTTGTATTTATGGTTTTGCTTAGATCATTTAATTAAGTCATACATATTATAAACTTTAAAAAAATTAAATGCATTGGAGAGTATACCAATGTAGACATTCGTTTGTATATTCTTTATAAAATTATAATCTTAAATTGGTATTTTATTTATTTTATTTTTTTTAATAAATTTATCCTCAAGCAAAGCAGAAATGCCACAAGTATGCAGGGAGACTACAGTGAGTGAAAGAAAAAGAGAAGACTGAGAAGAAGGAGGATTGAGGAAAAACAAAAGATGAATGGGAATCAAGACAATAGAAGATGGTGATTGACATTGCATTTAAATTTTTGAAAATTGTAATTATCAAGGAAGCAATCAAACGGAAGTGAGTTACGTGGGTGGGAAATGTGAGAAATGAAACTGTTAGAGTAGAAGTGCTGGTTGCATTTTAAGTATTTCAATAGTAAACGGGTGGGACCTAGATGCCAATCTAGTAGCATTCTTAAATTCACATAGTGAAGGCACCAGGAAAACAAAAACTTCATTAGAGCAGTTACCATGAAAATATCTGTAGAAAAGACAGATGGAGGCTCTGTCATGTCAGTGAGAAAGTGACTGAAGTCGAGATGCCAAGTCAGGATTGATTACATTGTAGATCCTTCTTTGGATTTTGTCAAGAACCTCAAGATAAATAGCAGCAGCAACAGACCAGATATGGCAGCAGTATTCAATGCATGTATGAATAGGAGATTTATAAATGTGCAAAATGGACTCTGATGAGAAAAAGTTTCTCTCAGGACACAGTGACCCAACTTTCCTTGCAGTTGTAATGAAACTATTGATTCAATATAGTCACTCCACTTGATGTCAGTGGCAAACATGAGGCAAAGAAGGTGCAGTGCAGTTGTTCTCCTAGAGTCTAGCATCAGCCATACTGATGGCAGGCAAAAAATGTTCTCTGTACAAGATAAAGTGAGAAAACACATTCTTTTCTTTCTGCCTTAAGTGATTTAAGGTTTGCTTATATTTTCAATTATTGTGTTCTTTGTACTATTAAAAAACAGTTTAGCACTCAAAGTATTTTATTTTTTTATTGGTAATGAGCAAGTAGAAGAAATCTATGGTCACAACAGCCAATTATAATGTTTCATTATAATTATAATCATTATCATGTTTCATTATAATCATGATTATTATAATAATCATTATTTAGTGATTATTTAGTGTTTCATTATAATTATAATCATTATCATGTTTCATTATAATCATGATTATTATAATAATCATTATTTAGTGATTATTTAGTGTTTCCCTATAATGATAATCATTATAGTGTTTCATATGTCCCCAAAAATGTCATGACATAAGGTTTTCAGAGTGAAATAACAACAAAAAATTTTATGTAAGAAATGGATTTTTGTAACATCAAATTTTTATGTTTTCTTAGTCAGGCTAAAAGCATTTTATTAATAGAATAACTGAAAGTCTTCCTCAGTACAGAAAGAAAAATAAGCAGGAAGAATTTATATATATATATATATATATATATATATATATATATATATATATATATATATATATATATATATATATATATATTAGTTAATGGAGGGATAAATGAAATGGCCTATTATGAGCAGGCAGGTATAAGTGTGCTGGTGTGTATATGCAGGCAACCAAATAAATAATCATCAAATTTATGCATGAGGAGTAAACATAATAGTGCTCAATGTGTTTATGCAGCACAAAGATATGTATTAATTACTACATATATGTGTACCTACATTTTGGCATGCGACTATAGTTTCACTGGGTGGTGTTCCCAGTTCATTGGGCACAGGGTCTAAATTCATGAGGTAATTTTGGATTTCTCTATTATGTATATATATATATATATATATATATATATGCACACACACATACACACACAGAAGGTGCAATGGATAAATTGTCATAAATTACACAAAAATAACACTGACATCCCATTTTAACAGATTACAAAATTACACAAACATATCTTGAAATATGAATGAGTAAATTTATTCAATAAAGTTGTCATTGGCATCAACCCCAGCTTCTTCTGCAATTTTTTTGTGTGGTCTCCATGTTTAAGTTGGTGAATGCTGCCATAATCCTTGCCTTCAGTTCATCTTTGGTGTTACAAGAATTTTTGTTGGTCTCTTGCTCAACTGCGCACACCTCACATAATAATCAAGGGGTTTGCAGTCTGCAGAGTTAGGTGGCCAGATATAAGGAGTAATGTGGTCACAGACATAGGGTCTTCCAGCAGCCACTCTCTTGACCCAGGGCAGCACTAACTCCTCAAGGCACTTGATGTAGGCCTCCGTGTTCAGTCTGAGGCCCTCACCAAAAAAAATTGGGAGTTCTTTTCTTATCAATATAATCAGAGTTAGTTTTTCAATCTGCCATACTTTCATAATCATTATTAGACTCACCCAGCTGTTTCCGAATCCTCTACACTGTCCTCAGATTGGCACCCAAACACTCTGAAGTGTTCATACTGGAACTTCTGAATGCCAATCAGTACAGCTTGCCATTTCCAAATTTCTGCCTAAGTGAATTGTGTCATGGTTGGCTTTTATTCACAGATGGTGCTCATCTGGCTCTACAATAGTGTGCAGTCAACAAAATCAAAAACAGACTGTGTATGCATGAAATTAAAAATATAAAATAGCAACAATTTACCCATTGCACTGTGTGTTTGGGTAGTGCGTTCTTGTGTTTGCACTTTGCTCTGACACTTCATCCCTGTTTTTGTTTGATTATTAGATTTGTGAACAGTGCCATACTATTTGATCAACAGTATTTCAATGGAGAGAGAGAGAAGAAAGACATCTCTATATTTTTAGAGAAGATTTCAATAAATTTGCATGTCCTTGATATGATGATAAACTACCTCCAGCTGTAAGGCCCTTAATCAGGAGATTGAAGGTTTTAAGGAGCATAGAACCACTTTTTTTTATTGCTGTTATTCTTAGTTTCACCCTGAACTGGGGTGGTAGCACCTGTTAAAATCCTAGCTATGGGCAAATAGTGATGCCCCTCCCCACAAAAAAGGAGATATTATGAAAGTATAAAAATAATCAAGAATACATTTTTAAAGCAAAATAACCAACACTACAATTATTGTTGAGTGCATACAATTGTGTTCAAAATATATTTAGTTAAAGCCATAAAATTGTGTTCAAATTACTTAGATATCGGCATTAAATAACCCATAGAGGTGTTGATATGCCATTAAACAAAATCAACCAAGCTAAGCTATAAATTTTCTTTCAACCTTGATGAAAAGATGACTAAGTTTTGTGATAACTGTGAAATAATGCTTAACTTCCTATTCCCTTTCAATTAAATGTTATTTTTGCAAATTTTACTAAAAGAAAAAAAAATCATTGCTTGAGAAAAATTACATTCAGGAATTTTTTTTTTTATCTGTGATTTCAAGATAATATTCAAGGATTTCTTGTACTATCCCATGTTGTTACTTATTTTTCTTTCATTGCACATCCAAAGAAAGTTGTCATAATCTTTTTAAAAGAATTGAGATATAGATTTTTAATGGGGATTATTCAAAAATATGGAATTGTCATTTGAACCTTCTTAAAAATATATCACTTCAGGATGTGGGTAATTATGTCTCTTCGTAGTTGCCTTTTCTTATTTTTTATAAAATTTCATAATCTGCAATGTTATTTGTTCTGACCTGGCATCTTGCCTTCAGTCACTTATCCACTTTCATGTTCTCTGATTAACTTTCCTCTGATACTTCAATTTTATGAATGTAAGCTCAGTACTAGAATGGCGGCAAGGTCTCGTCATTTTACAGTTGAAATGGCTAGATGTAACTGTAAATTTTATACTGACA